GTCTTCATTGCTGTATGGGTTTTTCTCTAGCTGCTGAGTGGGGAGGCTACTTTCCAGTTGTGTCTTCTCTAGTGTGGAGCAGGGGCTCTAGGGCACTTGGGCTCAGTAGTTGCAGTTCCCGGGCTCGAGAGCCCACACTCAGTAGTTATGGCACACAGGATTAGTTGCGGCGCAGCACATGGGATCCTCCTGGATCAGGGATTGAACCCATGTCTCCTGCATTGGCAGGTAGAGTCTTCACCACTGAGCCACCAGGGAAGCCCCCCATCTTCTGCTTTGTCAGGCCCACCGTGTTGCAGGCAACTCCGGGCTTTTCCTCAAGTGACGTCACCAACAGAGATGGAGAGGACGCCTTGGGACCCTGGGCGGGAAGTGGGGAGGGCCAACCAGAAAATAGCAAGCCAGGACAGTGTATCAAGTGGCCAGCACCCCGCCCGAGTCCCAGTGGGTAGTAGGGCATTGCAACATAGCTGATGGCCACACTCATCTCCTCTGACCACCGGAGGGATGTTCCAGCCTGTTCTACAGTGATGGGAAATAAAACACGTGAGACCTTAGGAAGATTTCCTCCTGGCATGGTTAAAGTGAAAGTGACTTTCCTGGGATAAGTGCCTATCCCGGTGTCCTGGGATAAGTCTCAGCCCTCTGAAAGCACTCAATGGAAGCACTTCTTACAGAAAGTGCTGGAAGACAAGTCCACTGTTACCGGGTCAGGCGTGTGCGTGGACGGTGAGTGGAGCATGACATGCATCCTGCCAAGTTCCCCTAAAGAGGGGAGAGGACAGTCCTGCCAGCCTGCCCTGTGCAGGGTAGTTGTGGGCCCTGAGAACCCAGCCGCCCCGGCTGGCAAAGAGTTGTGGGTGCAGAGCAATCAGACGCAAACACGTGATGTGATGTCCACCCCCTGGCAGTCCCAGAATCACACATCTGCTGCAACAGAGACCTGGAAAGTTGGCCTCCAGCCTCTGATCATGTCCTGTAGAATGTGCTCATCCAGCGAATCCGCTCCTCCACCAGGAGCACCAACCCCGTGAGGGCTACTAGGAACAGGAAACAATAGAAGCACTAGGAGTGAGGCAGGACAGACACTGTCCCCGCACCTGGGAGCCCAACTGTTTAGTTCAGATTAAGACTTTCTGAGACCTTAGAACAGCCACCCTGGTCCCCTTCAAGGATGCTTGTCCTTTGGCCTGGAAGCAAATGCTGGGAGGAAGCGTGGAGGTGCCAGGTGGAGAGCAGCACTTGGGCAATGGGGCAGCGAGGGACAGCACAGTTCCTATTATTGAGTGCCTTCTGTACGCCAGGCTCTAAGCGACTGCCTCCTGTCTGCTCTTGTCACCCTGACATCCCCGACAGTCCATAAAGCCGGCGCTGTGTCGTCTCCTTTAAAGGGAGGCCCCTGGAGTTGGGGAGGTGAAGTCACCCACCCCAGGCTGGTGGGGAGGCCAGCCCCACACCCCCTGCTGCCCAGACCCAAAGCCATGGACAATCCCCTGCCCAAGTGGAAGCATTGTGTTCAGGGTGGGGGCCCAGTGGGGGCAGCAGGCTGGAGCCAGAGGGCGGGGATTGCCTTGTGGGCAGCAGTGACCCCTAAACAGTGTCTTTTCCCTCTTTTTGGAGTGGGTCTCCTGGGTAAGATCGGGGCAGGGCTGTTCCCGGGGAGACTGGCTCAGGCGGACGGACAGGCAGGTCCCTGCAGGTCTGGGAGGCAGAGGAGCCTCAAGACCCGTCCTGCAGGTTCTTGGTGTTTTGCTCACAGAGCCCAGACAGCAGCGGGGCGCCGTGTCCAGTCCCTGGGAAGTGGAGCCACCCCTGACCTGGCTCTGCACACCTCCCCCGCATAATCAGCCACACACATTCACACACAGACACTTATGGCTACTGAGTATGCGGGTTCCTTGCCCCGAGGGCCTCAGGACTCATCTGGCCAGCCTGGAAGAGGTTCCCTTCCTGTCCCAGCCTTCTCCATCACCTTTCCTCCTGTAGGACCGGGATTGGGAGAAGTCAAGTGTCCCTGGGAGACAGAGGTCGGGGGCAGGAGTGGACGAGGCCCTGGAGGGCAGGCTCGCTGGCCCACCTGCTGGAGTCTCCTCTGTCTCCCCCTTCCCTCTGCTCCAGGCTCTCCTTCCTCTGTAGACCAAGCACCCCTCCGAGCAGCAGGCACAGTCATCCTGCTCCCCTGTGGGGACCATGGCCTGCCTGCTGGGTCTGTAGCCCCTCCTCCCTCCTCCTGTGCCTGAGGGCTGCCCAGGGTGTGGCAGCCCCATCTCCTCATCCTCAGCCCCCAGCCTCCCAGGTGGCCATCCTTGTCCCCTTACCTGCTGGCCTTGAGAGTAAGATCCTCTTCCAGTGAATACTTCTAGAAGTGTTGGTTCACACCAAATGCAAACATGAGGACTGCATAGTCAAAGCTATGGTTTTTCCAGTTTTTCATGTATGGCTGTGAGAGTTGGACCATAAAGAAGGCTAAGCACCAAAGAATTGATATTTTTGAATCAATTGGTGTTAGAGAAGACTCTTGAGAGTCCCTGCTGAAATTGATGCTCCAATACTTTGACCACCTGATGCAAAGAGCTGGACTCATTGGAAAAGACCCTGATGCTGGAAAAGATTGAAGGCAGGAGAAGGGGATGACAGAGGATGAGATGTTTGGATGGTATCACCCACTCAATGGACATGAGTTTGAGCAAACTCCAGGAGATAGTGAAGGACAAGGAAGCCAGGCGTGCTGCAGTCCACGGGGTTGCAGAGTCAGATATGACTACGCGACTGAACAACAACAAAACACAAAGTGGTTATGGAAAAACAGCACCTTCTGTTGATCAAAGAAGCTTCAAGCTTTGATCCTAAGAGGCCTGATCAGATACAGGGACTTATTATCCTATCTCATAGCTGAAGATACAGACACACAAATTAAGTCCCCAAATCAAGGATGGAATTAGAACCCAGAGTTCAAGTCTCCTGACAGTATCTGCAAAGCTCTCCACTTACAGTGCAGAATCAGCGATGAGAGTAAACGAGATGAGAAGAAAAGGAAATTTAAAGCATAGATTTATATCTTCAAATATTCTTTAAAAATAAGCAAGGGAGCTGGACTGGTCCCAGTAACCAGCGGCCCCACCCTCCCCACCTGGCTTATGAAGCTCGTCTCCCAGGAGAATCCACACCCTCCACCCAAGACAGTCGTTAGTTTCATTGAGAAATTGATTGCTCATTATGTATTGGCCTCTGCACTCTTCTGCTCTGAGATGAGATAGTGATCGTCTTCATGATGTCTGTGTGCGCTCAGTCGTGTTTGACTCTTTGCAATCCCATGGACTATAGCCCGCCAGGCTCCTCTGACAATCCAGAGAATTCTCTGGATTCTCCAGGCAAGAATGTTAGGATGGGTTGCCCTTTCTCCTCCAGTGGATCTTCCTGACCCAGGGACTGAGTCCTGGTCTCTTGTGTTTCCTGCCTTGGCAGGCGAGTTCCTTACTACTGAGTCACCAGGGAAACCCTTCATGTGAGGAGTTGGGCAACCAGAAGGTTTCCTGTCTCTTTCTTCATCTGGGTCCCCTGGACTCAGGGTGGCTGGGGGTGGATGAGCAGGGCTAAGAGGTGGAGAGGTGTTTGCCTAGCTGCCCTCTAGGGAAGGACAGAATGCTGTCTGATGGGCTGAACCAGGAGTGGAATTTACTAATTTCTCAGGAGGACAGAAGCAGTCTGCTCCTCCCCTGGAGGCATAGCTGGGGCTAGTCAGGGGATTTATAGGGATCTTGAGGGAATTTGCTTGAGAAAGTTACCATGGGGGCCCCAGGGCAAATGTCCCTTTACAGCCTTGGATCTCAGGGATAAGGACTTGGGTACGGTGCCCAGGGCCTGAGGTCTTGGTCGAAACTCTGCTTCAGAGCAGTGGGCAGAGATGAAACAGATAAGACCATGCAGCCCGGGACTTTTTCTGCTTCAGTTCAGTTCAGTTCAGTTCAGTCGCTCAGTCGTGTCCGACACTTTGCGACCCCATGCTTAGGGCTGACTTAATAAAACCATAAGGCAGACCAAGTACACAGCTTCAACCAACCTCTTCTATATCCTCCCACCCCTGGCATCTTTGGGGGCTGCCCGATCCAGCCCAACTCTCTCAGGCAGGACCCCTCTGGAGTTATAAGTGAAGGGTCCCCACCTTCCTGGGGTCTCTGTAGAGAACCTGGGACTTGGGACAGAATCAGAGAAGCTAGAGGGGAGCTAGAGGAGAGGACCTTGAGGGATACTGGAGGCTTCCTCTCCCCTCTGAAATCACACTTCGAACATTCACTTCATAAATGAATCTCAGCAGTACTTGCAGCAGGCTCTGCCCGCCCCAGCTCCACCTTTCTCCAAGCCAAAGGCAGGCAGATGCGTCCCTACATGAGGACCTGCCGGCCACCGTGGACTGAAGAGTGATGATGCCCACAGTGCATTCTGGGAGAATCCCACTCAGCTCTACCACCATAGTCCACCCTGCAGGATGGGGGCTTGACAGCCCCAGAGAGAACAGGAACGCTGGCCACAGCCCTCTTGGTCCTCAGGGCTGTGGGAGGCTCCTCTCCCCTCCCCACGCCAGTCTCTAAATTTGGAGAAGTTGTCTTGAGCCCCCCATCTTGAGCTTGGCTGGACTGTGAGAGTGCCGTGGGCACTGTGCTCTGCTGCCGGGGTGGGCGAGGCCTGGCCACATTGGTTCTCTGCAGCCTCTCCTGGGGCGGGCCCGCCTCTCCAGTTCCTGCATTTCTCGTCTGTCTGCAGTCTGCTGTCCCTCCCTGGGAGGAGGATCTCGCCCCGGGAGGTGGGGTGGGTGGGGAGAGTCCTCCTCCCTTTGCTGGGATGCGCAGAAAAGGAGGGGGTTCCCAGCAGTGGCAAGGCTGCCGCCTGAGCTGTGTTCTCAGACACACACAGCCTTGGTCCTGAGCTGGTCCCAGCTCTGACGTGAGCCCCTCGAGCAGGTTGACAGCGAGCTGGCAAGCTCCGTAGCAGGTGCGAGCAACATGGCAGAAAAGCTGTCCGAAGAGCAGGTGGCAGAGTTCAAGCAGGCCTTCGACAGATTCGACAAGGACAAGGACGGCACCATCAATGTGCAGGATCTGGGCACCGTGATGCAGGAGCTGGGACTGAAGCTGTCAGAGGCTGAGCTGAAGGGGATCATCACCCAGCTGGACACGGACAACAATGGTGTCATTAGCTTCCAGGAGTTCCTGGGAGCCATGGCTTCAGAGCTTCAGACCTCGGCCACAGAGGAGGGCCTGAAGGAAATCTTCCGTGCCTTAGACCAAGACAACGATGGCTACATCAGCGTGGACGAGCTCAGGCAGGCCACGTCCCAGCTGGAGGAGAAGATGTCTCAGGACGAGCTGGATGCCATGATCCGGGAGGCAGACGTGGACCAAGACGGCCGGGTGAACTACAAGGAGTTCGTGCGCATCCTTACCCAGAACTGAGGCTCCCCATCCCCTGCCTGCTCTGCTGCCCCCTGCCTGCTCTGTTGCCCCCTGCCTCTGCCCGACTCTGGTCCCACTGCTGGGTCAAACCCTGCTTCCATGTGGGGACAGTCGGTGGTAGGCGGGAGGGGCTTCCCCGCGGCCTGGGGTCTGATCTGCCCAGCCAGACAGAGTGCTTGAGAGATGGGGGTGCTCCCTACCTTGCAGAGCTGTTGTGAGGAGACCCAAAGTGATGCGCCGGTTGGAATAAAGGGATGTGAGCTCCAAGGTGTACGACTGTGCTTGAATGGGGGTAGAGGGGGGCTGGGGAGGATGGGGGTTGGGTGGGGTCGTTGAAGGGTCCCAGCGGGGGCATGTGGGGTTCTCTTGAGCCTCTCCCCATTCCACTCAGCCCTAGTGGGGGACCCTACGACTCCAGGAGGCCCATCTTTGATGCCCATGGTTGAGGAGGGTGGGGGGAGCACTATGGGTGGGATGGGGCAGATGGGACTTGAGTGCCTGCCTGAGCTCCCGTCAGAACCTAGGGCCAGAGTCCAGACCAGGGCTGGGACACGCCTGCCTCACTGGTGGTGTTTATCACGCTTTGCATGTAGCCAGCTGAAAGAAAACTCTGTGTGTGTGTGTGTGTGTGTGTGTACTGCATTTGAGATATGGGGAATTCTAGAGCCAAGCTGGGCGCCCTGGAGGACCAGCCCTGCCTTACCTGAAGGAGGGCGGGATGGTCAAGAAGTGGGAAGGACCAGAGATGCTGAGATGGGGTAATGGGAGGGGATCACACTTGGGGGGTGGGGGGTGTTTCCCATCAGATCCTAGAAAGACATGGCTCAGGGAGGAAGATGCCCCTAAACCCTCAGCTCCAGCCCTTCGGGGCCCTTTGGGGTTTGGGCTCTGAAGCAACTCCCTGGGTGTGCGTGTGCCCACAGAGCAGCTGGGGAGAGGCCGGAAGTCAGAGATGGGAGGAGCAGCCCCCTTCCACCCTCTGAGGTCAAGCTGAGGTGCCATCGGAACTTGGATTTTTGCAGCGTTGCTGTGTGGTTCCTAAAAACCATCCTGGCCAGAGCCAAGGCAGAGGTTCTCAGTGCAGGGCGGGGAGAGACAGAGTCCGCCTACCTGGGGGGTTATTGCAAAACACCTGCCCAGCCCTTTACCCTCCCCTCTTCCTGTTCGAGGGCGAATGACAGAGCAATGTACCCGTGCAGAGGGGGTGGGGCCAGGCCATCGGGGTGTGCTGTAGCACCGATGAAGTATTCCCACTTAGGGATATTTTCAGTGGGTCACTGGGGCCCCGTGACATCACACCTGCTGCACGGTCCATCCTAGCCCTGTCCTTGGGGTCTCCCTGCAGTCCCCTGCTCAGGCCTGAGCTAGAGTGGGGAGGAAGACAGAGAAGAGAGGCAGGAGCTCTGGTCCCTGAGGGTTCCCAGGGCATGAGTGGGTGTGGCTTCTGGTGGAGATAAGAGGGAGATGAGGAAGGGGGCGGAGGCTGCTCCCCCCTCCCAAAATTTCAGGGGTGGGACATCCAGGATGGGGGTGGACCCTCCCAGAAAGTCCCCATCCTCTTAGGGATGCAGGTCACAGAAGGTGAGTTTCTAAATGAGAGATTCCTAAATGCCAAGTTGGTCCAGGGCGAGGGGCTCCAGGCTCTGCCTGGAAACAAGGAAAATAAAGATGTTTGGATGAACTTGATGTATTAGTTTTTAAAGTTCTGAGAATATGCTCTTTCTATAGTTCAAATGTCCTTTCTTTAACGAAATGACTCCGATGGCAGATTTTTTTTTCCCTTTCATGTACTTCCTTTGAAACATGGGGAATCCCATGTTAATTTTGATTTGTTAATTTTTAATTATCCCAGTTAATCTTACAGTCCTGTGAGGCCACAACCTCTGAGAAGAACATCTCCAGCCTGTGGCACATAAAACTGATCTTCTTCCCTTAAAAAAAAAAAGAAAAAAATAATTCTTCTGACTTTGAAGAAGCATGAGGCTCATACCTGGGAAGAGCAGACTCCAGGACTGCGGGGGAGGAGGGGAGGAGGAGAAGGGTGGGGAGGCAAGAGGAGGAGAGGGAGGAGGGAACCCGGAAGCACTTAGTTCCCTAGGCTGGCTGGTGCTAGGATGCTAATGTAGGTGTGTGTTTGGTCACTTCAGTTGTGTCTGACTCTATGACCCCCCTGGACTGTAGCCCTCCCTCTGTCCAAGGGCTTCTCCAGGCAAGAATACTGGAGTGGGTTGCCATGCTCTTCTTCAGGAGATCTTCCCCACCCAGGGATTGAACCCGGGTCTCCTGCATCTTCTGTGTTGGCAGGCAGATTCTTAACCGCCGAGTCACCGGGCAAGCCCAGGATGCTAATACATGGAAGCTATTTTACTCTCCATATCTGTGTGTGTAAAGATGTTACACTGAGAATAATGCAAGCAGTTCATGGATGGTTAGAGCTCGCAGAGGGAAAGAGAGAGATGAAGCCACCAGCAGCCTCTGGCTGGTGTGAGAACTTTGAGGCTCATCCCTGCTGAGCTGTTGCTGAAAAGGGCTTGCTGGGGCCACAAGACAAGAAGAAAGACGCAGCAGTTTCTCTTCATGTGTTGCCCCAGGGAACAGAGAGGGAATCGTGAGTCTGGGAGAGGAAGTGACTTGTTTCAGGCCTCTGATGAGAGAAGGACCTGGAGGGACTTCAGGGTTCCACCGGCACAGCTGATTCCCATGGAGATTCCTGGCAGCCCCTCCCCTGGAGGAAGTAGGCCTGGGCGGGGTCTGCTGGGTGGGCTGGTGGGGACCAAGGCTGGACCAGCCTCTCGAAGCTGCGGGCCTGCGTTTGAGTGCCTTTCTTCTTCCGCCTGACACTGCAGGGGCTACAGAAACGGCTTCACATCGACTCCAGGGGGCCTGAGTGACCTTGGAGTGGGGACCCCAGTTTACCCAACCCCCTCAGAAGCAGCCCCACCCAGTCTAGACCCCAGGGGAACTGCAGAGCCAGGTGGAAGTTCCTGGCTCTAGGTCACATCAGGAAACCTGGGCCTCCAAAAGCCATTTTTGTGAAAGTCCACTTGCTAAGACTAGTTCTGCAAACTGTCAACTTGCTGTTCATCCCCAATTTACCAAACAATTATCTCTAAGGACACTAAGGATTAGAGATTCACATCGGATAAGATGCTCTGAGCAGTTTCTAAATATTTCTCTGAAGTTTTCTTTGTTCACTTGGATATTTTAGTTTTTAGTTTGTGGCTTGAAAATTGGTTTTGTTGCTGTCAGTTCAAGTCAACATTGAACCATAACCTGACAGAGATGAGTGGTCTCTGGGTTTTTCTTTCTTTTTTAGTATATTGGGGAAGGGAACTGATTCCTATCAAGATGGAGTAGCTAAACCCGTGGCCTTAAGAACTGTAGGTGGATGAGGTGGGTTTCTCTCCAACAGATTTTCAAAACAGACTGTTGCTTCAATACTCCTTTCAATTTACAAATTTGTTAACTGCCTCCATCAAAGTGATATTTTGCATACGTTTTAAGTATTTGATAATTGCTCATGTCTGAAATGTGAGTCACACGTTTCATTCAAACTGACATTTGGCTGAGCAGAGCTAAACTGACACATCTATGGGAACTGGCTGGGGTGAAACCACTTTGGTGAAAACGAAACTAATTTCAACTAAAGCAAAAGTTCCCCCAAATTCTTCGAGGTAATAATTTTAATGAATTATGGCTTTTTGTTGTTGTTCGGTCACTAAGTCACATCTGTGAAGGACAGGGGAGCCTGGTATGCTGCAGTCCATTGGGGTCAAAAAGAGTGGGACACACAACTAAAGTAAAAATTCCCCCAAATCCTTCGAAGTATTAAATTTAATGAATTATGCTTTTTGTTGTTGTTCAGTCACTAAGTTGTGTCTGTGAAGGACTGGGGAGCCTGGTGTGCTGCAGTCCATAGGGTCACAAAGAGTCGGACACAAGTGAGCAACTGAACACAACAACCGTGTCTGTAGAGACACAGGGAGGTTTGTTATGGGAACCGGCTCACCCATTATGGAGGCAAAGCCCTAGGACCTGCTCCCTGTGGGTGGAGGCCCAGGAGAGTTCAGTCCAAACCTGAAGGCTGGGCTTCAGGAGGCTGACGGAGTACACCCTGATGTCAGCCTGGAGGCTCAAACCAGGAGACCCCTGTCCAAGGGCAGGGGGAAGATGGAGGTCTTGGCTCAAAGCAGGGAGTGAACTCGCCCTTCCCCTGCCTTTCATTCTGCTTGGACCCTCCATGGATTGGGTGATGCACCCCTCCTCACCCCCTGCCACTGGGGAGGGAATTCTGCTGAACCAGGTCAAATTCCCATCACTACTGTACACACCCCTCCCAGCTGCACCCAGAAACATCTCCTCCAGCTCTTGGGGCAACTCTTATCCCCACCAAGATGGCACACAGAATTAACCATCACTCGGTGGAGGAGGGCAGTAGGAGATTCCAGGGCAGGTAACTGGCAGAACAGATGACGATCTGGATGTCAGACCTCTGGTTCCAGCTGATAAGACTTCAGATCGATGCTCTTCTCTTCCCCCGCAAAGTCGGGAAGAGCAGGTTTTCAACAGATTCAGCTGTGCTCCAGGTCCTCAGGAACACTCTAGATTAATTATCCAGCCGCATTTGCTCTGTCACCCTGTCCAAGTTCTGAGCTTTGGGGTCATGAACACGGCCCCATCACCCAGATTCTGCTAGGTGGTCACAGTCCAGAGGGCACAGCCCTACATCTGAGAAGCCAGGGCCTGCCTCCTCCTTCCTGGCATCGGCCAGCACAGATGACCTCATCTGCTCCTCCCATGCTCCGCTCCACATTACCACAACCTGGGAAAGGGCCCATGCCTCCGCAAGCTCCTTCTTGCTCACCTGCAACTGTTTGTTATCTCTGGCACTTGGGTCTCTTTCCCGCCTAGACGTCCCCGCCCCAGGGCACGGCAGGAACTTTCCACGTCATCCCTTGTCGGTCCAGCCCAAGCCCGCCTTTGCTATAAGCCATGATTCC